TATATATATACAGTATAACAAAATTAACTTCAAGTTTGTATCAATAAACTGAAATTTATACCAATGTAAAACATTTTAAACATAAACTAAAACCTATACCAATGTAAAACATTTTAAAGAAGTTGTTCTTTAAAAGTAGGTTCATTAATCTACCCTTTTATCTTATCATCTCCATATCCTCCTATATATCTATATCATATCCCCTTTTCTTTTTTAGAAGGAGATCACATTTATAATCAACCTGTTTTAAATAAAAATATTGGTTTTTCTCTGTCCCACACCAGAGGGCTCTTGTGATTTGGGACACAAGAATCTCTTTACCATTTTTTTTTAAATGGCTGTTGGGCGCCATTGTTGCTGGGGGGCTTCTTTCTAGGCTCCACCAAGCCCCACAGTCCCACAATCCACGTATAAAATAATCACTCAGACGCTTATATCACTTATAAACTGTATGGCCATGACAGGCTTCTTGCTAACTGTTCTTTTATCTTAAATTAACCCATTTTTATAAATCTATACCTTGCCACGTGGCTGGTGGCTTACCAGAGTCTTTACATGCTGCCTGTCCTGGCAGTGGCTGCAGTGTCTCCTCCTCAGCCTTCTGCTTCCCAGAATTCTCCTCTCTCCTTGTCCCACCTACTTCCTGCCTGGCAACCTACTTCCTGCCTGGTCACTGGCCATCAGTGTTTTATTTATATAGAGCAATATCCACAGCATCTTCCCCTTAGCCACATAGATGGAGTCTATCTATCCTCCTCTCCTTTAACCTATACATCATAGCCTCAGGCAATTAAGGAAGAGTTGTATACAACACATGATAAGGAGGCTCTGGATACTCAAATGAGGGTCCTATGACCATCTTTATTCCTCCAGAAGGAGGAATAAGCAATAAATAAAACTCACTAGGAAAATAATTTTACAAGTGGGTACAGCTGAACTTCCCAAGATGGCCATCACTTAGCTTAGAAGTTAGTCACTCACAACAACCCCTATGGATATAAATGTGTGTTAATTTTTCAAGTATTTTATATAAAATTATATATAGTTTGCTTATATCCAGTAATAATTCTCCTATATACTTCATAAGTTAAATCAAATTTTCTTATAATGGAAATGTTAAACATGTTCTATGAATTTTTTCTTTTTATTTATTCTTATCTTATACAATACACCCTGAACACATCCTCCCCTCCCTCAAGAGATTTTATCATCTTTAAAATAAATTTTCATTAATTTTAGAATTTTGTTCAAGTTTTATTATATTCATCTTCTTCCTGTAACTCCTCCAAGAAACACTCTTTAACTTTCCTGACCCAACTCTGTGTACTTTTGCTTTTTATTCAAAGTCAATTTGTGCTTCCTAAATATTTTTTGCTGTGTGGCCTTCCACTGCAGCATGAGCAACATTGGCAGCTGTCCTTTTCAAGTAAATTGATCCTCCTTCCCACAACAACTAACAGTTGTCAATAGCTCTTCTGCTAGGCATAGGACTTCATGCCAACCTCTCTTCTTCATGTCAGGATTTGACCTGGCTTGAGCTTGCACAGGTAGTATGCATGGTGTCTCAACCACTGTGAATTCCTATATGCACAACCCTGCATATCCAGAAGACATTGTTTCCTTGTAGTAAATCATTGTTTCTGGCTTTTGTATTCTTTCCACCTCTATTCATAAATAATCTATGAGTCTTTGGAGGCAGTAATATGGTGTATTCTTTTTATGGATGATCCTCCTGTGGTCTCTTATTTTCTTCCCCTTCATTGTTGTATTGACAAGAAAAATGTCCTCACATGTTCAGCACAAGTCCAAAATATGTTTTGTATTTATTCTTCTCTCACCTAATACATCCAGCCTGCAGTTTCCAGTCTCTCCACTACTCCCAAAACCACACTCCCTCACCTCCCCTCTACCTCAAATCCACTCCTTTGCAGTTTCCCTTGAGATAAGAGCAGGCCTCCAAGGGATATCTATCAAACATAACAAAACAAGTTACAGTAAGACTAGGCACAAGCCCTCATATTGAATCTCAATGAGGTTATTCAGTAGAAGAAAAAGGGTCCCAAGATCAGGCAAGAGAGTCAGAGACACCCCCTACGTACACACACTTCCACTGTTAGGAGTACCATAAAAACACCAAACTAAACAACCATAACATATAATGTAGAGGACCTAGTATAGACACTATGTGATTGCCGCTTCAGTCTCTGTGAGTTCCTATGAGCCATGCTTAGTTGATTTGTGGGCCATGTTCTCCTGGTGTTCTTGATTCCTCTGGCTACTACAATCCTTCCTTCCCTTCTTCAAATTTTCCAAGGTGAAACTAATGTTAATCTGTTTTTTATTGTGTCTGCTTTCCTTTCCATCTGTTGGAGTAGTCCATTGGGTTTTGCACCAACCTATGAATATAACAGAATATCATTAGAAATCATTTCAACTTATTTTTGGACAGTCATATTTGGTTCTCTCCTATAACTCTAGGCTATCCAGTCTCTAGTTTCTGGCCATTGAGGCAGTGTCAGGCTTGTGCTCTCTCTTGTGACATAGGCTTCTAGTTAGACCAGTCATTAGTTGGCCACTCCTACAAGTTCTGTACCACCATTGCCCCGGCACATGTTGGAGGCAGGACAGAGGATTTTGTGTCTAGATTAGTGTTCTAGTCAAGTAAAATATTTTAAAAATATGTTTATCTACAATGGTTGAATTTGGGGAGGTATAATTTGTAGATACAGAGGCCCAACTATACTTTCAGGTTCTATCATTTAAATACTCATTAAATTATAACTATAATATAATTTTTACATTATCATGTTGATAATTTATTTTTGTGTATTTCCTATATGTTAATATGTTTATCTTTCCTTATTCCCATTTGAGAGAAATATTTCTCAAATGATTTCAAAGATTTAATTATGTAAGTGTATTTTAAACACTTTGACTATCTTTTCTCCTAAATAAAACTATTTGGAATGAGTATAATTATGAGCTCAGAATACCTTTCTTCTCAGAATTTCATACATTGTTACTTTTTTCTAAAATTTATTGATATACATCATTCATTCAATACTCATTTAAAGGTATTATAGTAGGGAAAGCAATGGAATTTAATATGACATTTTGAATTGCCATCTGAATATTATCAGTATTGGGGAATATCAAATACCTGAAAACACACTGACCCTTATTATATAAAAACAATATTTTGATGTAAAAATTGTTGCATCTCTAACTTAATGCCTATTATTTTAAATTCTTTAGCTGAACAAAAATGGAAAACAGTGAACTTTCTTCACATACATAGTGAAAGAGTTAAATAATTTCCAAGTAAGATTAAATTGTGGTAATTTAATTCATGAAATATATAAGAGTAGGACAAAATGATCTATATAGAAAAATAATGTCATCAAAATATCTTTGAATAGGCAAACTTTGTATTTTTTGAAGGTTCCAAAAAATGTCAACAAATAAATTGGTTCACTCATTGAAGCATGGGGTAATAAAATCTGAGCAACACAGTTAGGATTTTGTATGTTATTAGTAAGAGAACAAAAAAGCCTACTACTTAAAAATATCTTCAAAATTATTCTATTTTTCTATGTGTATGTGTTTGGCTGAATATATGTCTGTGCACCACATGGCACCTATGAAGATTAGAATAAGGCATCAGATCTCCTGGAACTGGCATGACAGACAGTTGTCTGCTGCCATGTGAATGCTGGTAATCAAACCCAGGTCCTTTGGAACAGCAGCCAGTATTCTTAATCACTGAGCCATCTTTCCAGACCAAGCATTTTATTTTTTGATTGCATATTTGAAATAGAAACTCAAACAGGAGAAAATGGCAACTTGACTTTAAAATGATAATGTATAAATTTAAAAAGAGAGTCTAGGAATTAAATTGTCTTCTCTTGAGAAACTGAGTGAATCTTATCCAATAATAAAGTATAAAGTGAGACCTTCAAGAGAAGAAAAGCCCTGTGTTAGTTTTAATGCAATGATCCTTTCCTGTTTACTTACTTCTTATGTGCGTCCATGATAATGCAATTGTTGTAACAGTGAAAATTGCTGTCAGAAATCCTACCACCACTGCCATAATCTTCAACCAGTTCTTGTACAAGGGAAATGAGGGATCTGAAATAGATATTAAGAAAATTCGAAAATAGGAACATTAATGAGTCTCTGTACTAGACAAACAGAAGTTAAATGGTATCACTTAATGCCATTTTACTACCTCTTAGAATTCTTCAGAGCTGAATGTGGCAATAGATGCCTGTAATCAGCATTCAGGATGCTGATGCAGGAGGATTGAGTACAGCCTCTGTTATATAAGAAATCTGATATCAAAAAAGAGAGGAAAAAAAGGAAGGGAGGGATGGAGGGAGGGAAAAATGAAGAGAAAAACAATTTAACCTATAAAGGCATTCTTTTGCTACTTATGATTCAACCAATTCTTACAACTATATCAAATAGATATTTTATATCCTTTTGTTATAATCCTCCATTGCTAACATTGATTTGATGCTTCAATAGGATGAAAAATTGGGGGAACCTTAGAATGAGTTGAATGAATTTTGTGTTTAAGAGAGATCTTTGGAGGACATACTGTAGTAAGCAGAATTGATCTCAGAAATTTCCATACTTACTTGCTGTGCAATGGTCTGTATGTTAAATTGCTCTGATTGGTCAATAAATAAAACACTGATTGGTCAGTGGTCAGGCAGGAAGAATAGGTAGGACTAACAGAGAAGAGAATTTAGGGATCAGGAAGACAGAGGGAAACACTACCAGCTGCTGCCATGACAAGCAGCATGTAATGGTGCCGGTAAGCCATGAGAGACGTGGCAAGGTATAGATTTATGGAAATGGATTAATTTAAGCTATAAGAACAGTTAGCAAGAAGCCTGCCACAGCCATACAGTTTGTAAGCAATATCAGTCTCTGTGTTTACTTGGTTGGGTCTGAGCGGCTGTGGGACTGGCGGTTGTCAGAGATTTGTCCTGACTGTTGGCAAGGCAAGAAAACTCTAGCTACAATTACTCCTGAAAATTTGCAACATATTATACAGAAACATGAATTTTATGATATACTTAAAGCTATAAATCACAAAATAAGACTATTTGGAATTATTTGGGTAGACCAATCAATAATATAACCTCTTAAAAGCAGAGACTTTTACTAGATGGAGTCAGAATGAAGAAGATATAGAGTGATTGATGTAAGATGGAAAGACATCTGATCCAACATTGCTTGCCAAATCTGGTGGGATGCATCTCACATAATTCAACTCAGTCTCCCCATGACAGGTAGCAAGAAAACAGGGCTCTATAACCACATTTGCAGGTAACTAAAATTGTCCCAAAAAAAAAAAAAAAAAAAACCAACCTTGGAAATGCACAAAAGACGCTCCAACTAACAATATAATTTTATAATCTATACAATCAGAAGCTAAACAAGTAAGTATGTCAGTTCTTATTAGACCCTAAGGAAAACCGTGTGTTTCACCCAGTGGACCCCATTTCAGGGTCCTGACACCCGGAACTATAAGAGCAAGTATCTCTTGGTTTAAGTCACTAAATTTAAGGTAATTTGTTGTGCTTATCAAGGAAAAGGTTTATGGGGAAAGGACACAATGAATTCTAGTAATAGATCCCAAAGAAATGAGGACCTATGAATTGGTCCAAAGAAATTAGGACCAATTAATTAGGACCTCAATGGTTTCACATTATTATTATTAATTTTTTTTTATTTTTTGCAACCTATACTTTAATACAATCACTCACATCTTTTTATAGGTTTTCTCTAACCTTTTTATTTTTTTCATTTTATATACCAACCCTTGTTCCCCTCCATCCCTTTCTCCTTCTTCACCTTATCTCCCCCCAACTCTTCCCCATTCCCTCCTCATAGGGAGTTTCACATTAACTTTGAAGGTGACCTAGTGAACAACAAAAGAACATAAATAACTGGGGAAATGATTTCTGAGGAAAATGAGAAGTTCAGTAGAGAGAAATCATAAAAGAGGGACAAACAGGAATCCTGGACTTAAAGGCATGATGAAGGAAATGATATAGCAACAGGGAACATCAACCACAGAAGAAACTGGATCAAACAGCATAACCAATCTTTAAACTAAAACAGAGATTATTTGGAATTATCCAGACAGAGGAGGAAAAGCAAAACATGCAAAAGAATGAATAATGCCTATATTGCATGGAAGACATAACCAGGAAGCTAAGTTTTGTATAATAAGTATTATAGGAGGGAAAAAGAAATTATTAAATAATAAATGAAAACTTCACAACTCTAGGAAAAGATAAGAGCATCAGACTATACAAAGCTCAATGATGTCCAATGAAATTCAACTCAAGGAAGATTTCACAAGGACATATTATATACATATTGTCAAAAATAAAAGAAGACACATTCATATAACACTGAAATTGTGGCACCTACCACAACAATTTTTAATCCATAGATCTTGAACAATACTTAGTAATCTAAGTAATATTACCTAAGGAATGAATATGACTTTGTTATTTATGATTTCCTAACACAGAATGCTATAAATAAATACCACAGAGGAAAATTCCTAGATACTCAAATACACAATAGAGAATATGATATTCAGGGGTATCTGTGATCATACAATGTTAGTCCAGTGTGATGGTACATATCTTTAATTCCAGTTTTTAGGAGGCAGAGACAGGTGGATTGTAGAGTTTAAGGCCATCTTAGTCTACAGAACAAGTTACAGGACAGCCAGGACTACACAGAGAAAATTATTATTTAAAAGCCAATAATAATAATAATAATAATAAATTTTAAGAGAATGCTGAATAGTGATGACCAGTTCTTAGAGCCTCTAAAATTAAGAACTAAAACAAGAAATGGATATTTATACTATAGAAGTTAAGGTGAATATGTGAAGTAAGCAAGTAAAAGGTGTGAACCCTGTAAGACACAAAGACTGAAAGCAATGGCAAAGAAATAGGTACAGAACCCTCTGTCTCCCCAAAAGAAGGTACTGCAGTCATAGTGGAAAGATAAATCAGAAAGTCAAAGTCAGCCCTATCACAAATACTGTAAGTCTTAACAAAATAAGTGCTCTGCATTTACATTAATCCTGGATTTCAACTCTGTAGCAGCCTGGGTTCTGTACAGGAGCCTTTCTTCAAAGAAGGAATTCACATAGTCTCTTCTACCATCCCTAGAACCTAGGTTTCTGCATCAGGGTATAGTATTTAGAGTGAATATACATTAAAAATGTATATTTTCTTAATGTATAGAAGCCCTTGTGCATTCACATGTCTGAAGTCTAGCTAACACCCCAATACACTTTTGTAGCAGGTTGTAGTCTTATTATACCAATTATACTCAGTAGTGCAACCTAGCCTCCAAACTAAAGGAAAACAATTATAAAATATACATTGATCTATAAGATTTTCCCACCAAACTCCAAAGGAGTTCTGTAAACAACTATCTAGTTTTACTTTTATGTTTTTATTTAAAAGTTATTTTTTCCATTTTACATACCAACCACAGTTCCCCCTCTCTCTCCTCTCCCCTCTCACCCCTACATTTCTCTTACCCCACGCCCCTATCTGCTCCTCAGAGAGGGTAAGGCCTCCCATGGAGAGTCAACAAAGTCTGGCATATCAAGTTGAGGTGGGACTAAGCCCCTCCCTGCCTGTATTGAGGTACCTGTCAGAATGGCTAAGATCAAAAACACTGATGACAGTCAATGCTGGAGAAGATGTGGAGTAAGGGGAACACTCCTCCTTTGCTTGTGGGAGTGCAAACTTGTATAGGCATTTTGGAAATCAGTATGGCAGTTTCTCAGAAAACTTGGAATCAATCTACCTCATGATCCAGCAATACCACTCTTGGGCATATACTCAAAGGATGCACATTCGTACCACAAGGATATTTGCTCAACTATGTTCATGGCAATATTATTTGTAATAGCCAGAACCTGGAAACAACCTAGATGCCTCTCAACCAAAGAATGGATAAATAGCTAATTTGAAGGCATTACACTTCTTAAATGTCAAAATACAAAGTGACAGTAATAGAATTAGCATAAAACTGGCATTAAAACAGACCTATAGGAATAAAATAGACATGCCAGAAATGAACCCACATATATATTTTCAATTGAGGTTTGTAGTCAGAAGTTCCTCTGGTTCCACTTGCCCCCCTTCCCCACTGTGGTCCCGTAGCTGCTTACAAAACAAGTACTCAGAGACTTAATATTAAATACAAACTGCATGGGCTATGGCTAAGAATTCTTGCTAGCTAGCACTTTCATCTTAATTTAACTCTTTTCTATTAATCTATGTATTGCCATATGGCCACAGAATTACCAGTCTGCTGGCATGTTGCTCCTTGGGTGGCAGGCTAGCATCTCTTCCACTTTTTCTTTTCTTCTTCCTGTCTCCCTCTTAGACTTCCTGCCTGGCTATAACATGACTCATCGTAGGCTAGAACAGCTTCTTTATTAACCAACATAACAACACATATTCACAGCATACAGAAAGACCATCCCACAACAGGGGTTGATAAGGCACCAAGAAAAGTCAATGGAATAGAATAGTCTCTTTGGTGTATAGTTCTGGGTAAACTGGGTGTCTACACAAAAGAAAATTAAGTCTTGTCTTTAATCCTATACAAAAATCAACTCAGGAGATTAAATATATAAAGCTAAGACCTGAGATGATAAGATTCCTAAAACATAGGAGCAAAGAAAACACAGGGGCAAAGCTTGGCAAAGATTTCCTAAATATGACCTCAAAGGTATAGTAGACATTAGAAAGATTAAGTGAAGCTTCAGGAAATAAAAAATGTTTGTGCAAACAAAGGAAATGATCAACAAAGTGTAAAGAAATGATGACCTTCAGAATGCCAGAAAAATATTTTATGAACCATAAACTGGATGAAGTACACACACACACACACACACGCACACACACACACACACACACACACACACACACACACACTTACATAAGTCAATAGAAAGGGTTTTCTTATTCAATGTTAGGAATATGCAAATTGATACGATGATCAGTTGATTATAAAGGTATCTGAGTACCAACATATGATCCAGCTCAACTCATTAGTCCATCCACAATAGCTGACTGCAACTATGTAGTCATTAAGGCTGCCAAATCTCCTGTAATAATGAGTAATTAAATTCTGATGGCTCTTCAAATGGCTCAGATGATCTGTATTGTGTCTCTGCTTTCCACATTTTCTCCTGCAGAATCTTCAGAAGTTATAATAAGCAGTTACTTGAATGAATATTTTCAAAGTTGTTTGTGCTTAGGTGCTTTATTTTCTGGGTATTTGATTATGAACATAAAAGCAAATTGTGTGTCTTCAGTGATAAAAGCATAGGAGAATTGATTGCCTGGTTTTATAAATGCTAAGGAAAAATTTTTCATGGAAATGGTAGAAGTGTAGGTCTATGATCCAAGGCCTATTTAGCAAGATATTGGAAAATGAGAAAACAAAGCGAGCTCTGCTGTTGACCAGTGTGACCCTGAAGTTCACTTTTGTGGTTTGAAAGAAATGTGTGTGTTAACACAGAGTCTTGCTCTGCACTGATTGCTCTTAACTATTCTCTCTACATATTTCTTTTACAAACCTTTAAAGAATAAAATATTGTCAAATATCAAAATCATATTTTAGTGTTAGAATAGTCATCATAAACTCCATTTCTAAATAGCAACCATATTCTACATTTCTAGAACCACAGAAGCCTCATGAATTTAAAAAGCCTCATGGTATTGCATATAAGTGAAATATTATTGGAATTAAATAGAAACTTTATATTTCACACATTTTCAGTATAAGCTCTAAGCTAAAAACTAATAAAAATTTTACCTTTTCATATATGTATATTGACTATTAAATGGTGAGAAAATATTTAAGGTAAATGAGAGTTGATTCAACAATATTTTCTTCAGCTGTTTCCTCTTAATGGCAGCGATAGAAGGATCAGATCCCCAACACAGCTGAAAACACTGGCAGCTTTAGTTGTTTCCTCCTACTATACTATGTTGGAATATGATCCTTTGAGATTACACCCAAAATACAGATCCTTATGGAGATGATGTAACTAAACAATCCCAAAAAGTCTACATCTAGGAAAACAGGAGAACTAAAGATGCTACCACCATTAACTCTATTTACCTTTTTTCCGTAACAGCAGATACACAAGAAGGATCGTTACAGAGAAGACTATGAAACACAGCAACTGCAATATCTTTGCAATTGTGTTTAATCTACAGGAATATTGTTTGCGTCCAGGTGCACGTTCTAGAACAGAGAGAGTTAGAATTAACAAAAGGAGCTTAGCAGTGTGAGACAGCGAAACCGACTGAAAAGGTGGGCATCATTATTCCATTCCTGCTCACATCATAAGTAGAACTGAAGCATCAGGCTTGTTTTGAGACTAGGATATCTCAGTGGGATGTGTAAAACGACCAGAGCTAAGAGGAATTTCCTTTTCTGACCTTAACCTAACAGAGAACAAAATCAGCGGTTGTGGGGACTGGAGATAGCTCAGCTCATAGGAATCCTCATCAGTTTCAATCTTGGGCAAGAATAGCTATGAGAGCAGCATTAGCTGGAATAAGGGGATTGAGTTCTGCCCAGAGGTCATGAGACAGAAGTGACCTGCTCTTTCACCAGTGTCAATAAACACTCTCACCTTTGAGCTGCTAGGACCCTGCTCAAAGACTCACTTCTTAAATTGAACAAACAGTACACGTGTCTCTCCATAGATTACCAAATATGTATCCATAGGATAGTTAATCTTCATATCACCTTCCAGAAAAGGATGAATGAGATTTTTGAAGTAACTAGAAACATACTTTAGACAAGATAGCACAGTTTTGACTTTCAGTCTCTGAGAGACAGGGAATCAGAACATTTTTTTTTGTGTGTGTAATCATGTAGAAATTATCTGATATTGAAAGAGAATAAATTTCTCATAACAGAGGAATAGACTATTTCAATGACTTAAGCCATCTCCATAGTATGGAAGATGTGCAAGAAGAAACTTGAAAACAAGTACTGCATGTAATAGCATAATGATATGGCGTGAAATTTATAAACACAAATACTTGTAGGACAATCTCCTGAGAGGGTCCAAACAACACATTTCTGTACTCCAGCTTTCAAAATAATCGACAGGGATTTTATTTCACCTTTCATGGGCTCTGTTCACTTTAGCCCCATTGTGCTTCCAATTATCAACATCTATGGTTCCTTTTTTTTAGGAAACCAAGGATTGAATATACATTTACTTGTACAGAGTTGCAGAACTGTTGTTGTTCTGATTATTTTTCTCTTCTGGACCTTAACAAACATTTCAATAATTGAATAAAATGCTTTGTCTAAAAGGACTGAAAAGAAACTATGTTTCCTTTACTCTCACTTGTGGTTGTGATCTCTTGAGTAAGAAGACTAAACTTCTATCTCCCTGCTACTATTTCAGGAAAAAATTTCTTACCTCTTCCCAGCCTTCACTCCCTCAGTTTGCATATTTGTTTTAAGGGTTTTCTTTTCTTTTCATTTTTTTTCTCTTTGAGACAGGGTTTCTCTGTGTAGCTTTGCAACTTTCCTGGAAATCACTCTGTAGCCCAGGCTGGCCTTGAACTCACAGAGATCTGCCTGCTTTTGCCTCCCAAGTGCTGAGCTTAAAGGCATGGGCCACCACCCCTGGCTTAGGGGAAAAATGCTTAACTCCTCTGAGGATCTATTTCCTCACTTTTTGTGTCAGTTTTCGGGGAAGAATCTCTAACACCATGGCCAGCCGAGTGTTGATCTGTGTGAGATAAGAAGACAGTTTGGTTCAACATGACTCAGTAGTTGGTGTTGCTTCAAATTTTGAGAATATGACAACAGGTATTTTATTTTTTTACATATTTTACCACAGCACAATTTGGAAAAAAGTTTCTTGGTGATAATTAACTTAATCCCATATTCACAACAAAGTTAAGGATATGATTATATCAACTCTCGAAAAGTACAAGAGATGTCTTTCATAAAGATAGCTTCTATACATTACCTAAGGAAGCAGGTTCAAGGCAAACAAAGCTCATGGTAAGGGTCTTGGGGAAGGCAGCACTATAGATCAACTGAGATAAACAAGCTCAAGATAAGAATCTTGGGAGCTTGTCTGGCCTGGCTATAGAGATATCACAGGGGTCACCAGGCTATTAGTCACCTCAGCTCCCAAACTTTTAGGCAGAAAAGGGGTAATGTATAGGTTGAGGAGACAACCCTGTGTGTTTAACACTCCTGGTTTCCCTATTGCTTATCTGTGAGCACAAGTACCTATGTTACTTCTATAAGAAATGACAAATATATTACTCATATATTAAATTCACAAAACAAATCCTTTTAAAAAGAGCAAGTTCTCTTAACTGCTTAGCCATTTCTCCAGCCTCATGCGTGTACATTTCTACTGGAACAATTTAGTACTGTATGTTATTGATAAATCACAAGAATCTATTATGGAAGTTTTTCTTCTTGGGTTATCAGTCTACACTCTCATCCATGTCCATAAGGAAAATATGTTTGCACAACAAATACAGGCCTTTCAGCTTTAGACATGAGTTAGAGGATGTTTCAAAGATGTAGCCTTCATGAACACAAGTTTATAAATGTTGCTTGTCTGGCCCTTATGGGACTTTTACATGGTTTTAAAAGAAAAAAAACTATTAAAGTTTAAATAAATGTTTGAACTCTCTAAAATTTCAGATTAAACTATCAGAGATCTTTTTTTTTTAAAGCATATGGTTCTTGCAAAGAGTTCAGTGTACAGAGGCTTTCCAGAATGTTTTGATGAAGTAACTGCTTTCACAACAGTGGGTTTTCATAATTGTGTAGTAAGACCCAGCAACAGACATTAATGAGGTACCAACACTGATACCAGAAAAAGCCTCAGTAGTCCTAAAAAGCAGGCTGTACTCCACCAGCCTTTATACAACACACAGTTCTTTATTTGGTTTTTCTTATAGTTACTAAGACAAAAGGAGCAGAAAGGACACCTTCTAGACATCTGAGCTACAGCCACATGAATGATGACCACATCAGGTCATCTGAGTTGCCACCAATACCATCATATTCACCTTCCAATCTGAAGTAAGTTAATGAAATCAGCTTGATGTTGAACACTATCAGCACACAGAGGATCACACTAATATCTTCCAACCACAAAGTGTCCAATTCAAAATGTGAATCTGAAACAGGGACTAGGAAAAGAAGAAAGAGTCAGGACAGGTGCAGTAAAGAGCAAGACTATATTACACATGAAAAGTAGCTTTTCTTTTCAGGTTCCTGTTGCTCCATGCCCCCTACATGTACAAGAACAATCCAGAAGAAATTTGGCCTACTTGATTTTGGAGATAAGCATGGTTTTTAAAGCTAGAAGAGGTTATAAGGAGACACGTACCCATTCTCCTCAAGGAGCATGGCTCTTGCTTTTATGAGTCTGTCTGAAGAGCACATGGATAGATCATGTTTTTTTCTGTTTTTTTGTTAATTGTTGTTGTTGTTTGTTTTTAGTGCTGAGGCTCCTCAAGAGTTCTGGACCATACAGAGTATAGTGAAATAGAACATTCTTAGATGATCAGGATCAGTGAAATGGAAGAGGTCTTAAATTGTCAGCCATCATATTCTCTGGGAAGCATGATCTCTCTATCCTCATCTTCCTCTCTGTTTTAACATTCCAGCTGCTACACATCTTCCCTGACACCAATCTGTACTATTTCCTCTCTCACCAGGGGTATCTGTTCAAGATCCACCTCCTACTCATTAACATTCTAGATCATTGTGAAGAGGGAAGTTTGGTTTCTCCCCATCCACCCACAGATGCACCCTCCAGTGTAGGACACAGAGATTCATTCAACACATCCTTCTGAATAACTTCAAGTGGGGAATAGTTTCCTTATCCCTCTTCAGGTTTGTGGCTAGCTCTGAAATGAAATTGAAAGAGACAGATTCACAGGAGAAAATAACAGATGTATTCCATAAAAGTTCTATATGAAAGAGCATACTTTAGAATGAAGTCCCCTGACTCAGGATGAATATCCATTTTTATGCTTCTGTTTGGTGAAGCATAGGCAGCTCTATGGAAATATGATTAGACCAACGGACAGACTCAACAGTCCATGAGTTCTTTAGAACTCTTTAGGAGTTCTCTTTTCTCCTCCCTGATGTAAGATGGATATTTTCCCAGATGAAGTTGTTAGTTCCTACTGCCAAAGGCAGGAAAGAGCATTTCTGCCAGGCCAGCTCTTAAAAACAAAGGTGTGGAAGCTAGATCAGGGTTTCCAAGTTTGGGAAGAAAGTATCTAGGTTCCAGATCCAATCTGGAAAAGAGAAATTCTAGTTTTAGGGCTGCCTTGGAAAAATGAGAGAAGGAGGAAGGAGGGCAGAGTGAATGGCCCACTAATGCCATTTGGAATCTTTTTCAGTTATAAATGAATAATGTGTCGAGGTCTCATATTTTGTATTATCATGTTCAGAATCTCAACAATACCCTCTGGGCATCAGGTACTGCTTTAGTCAGCATTGGAACCATTAGTAAACTGAATAGATGGATTTCCTCTGGAGTAAAGCTCCCCACAAACTTTCCAATCTGGTCAGGTGGTGGAGTAAGAAGACAATAAAGTGACAAATACTGGCAAGTGCATGAATTAATGAGCATTCTTGTGCACTATTGGTGGGAATGTGAAATGGTGGGTATGTTATCTTCTCAAGAAAAAATAGAATTACCATGTGATCCAGAAACTCCATTTTTGGACGTATGAACAGAAGAATGGAAAATTTCTCTAGAAGAGGTATCTGTATGCCTGTGTTTACAGAAATATTGTGACCAATAGTGAACAGATGCACAATCCATACTTTTATTCTTTAAGCCTGTTCTAAACAGAAGTCAAAACATCATGAAATATAAAGTGATGCTTTGTCCCAGCTGTCTTGTGAAAGAAGAAATGAAATATTCTAGGTTTGATTTATTTGTCAATGTGTTTATAAATCTGTTCTTTAGTCTATAACTTGAATTTTCATGTTTATAACAGAGACTCTCATAAAGCAGAAAGATATTATTTTTATTATGGCAAAAGTTACTTGATATTGAAATCTAGACATTATAGCATGTGTTCTCATGGCCTATTTATTGACCCTATTGTTCAAGCAACAATTACTCCTCTTTTGCTAAATGTTTTCCTGGGCAGTTGGAAGAAGACTTTTATAGGATGACACCAGCTTATTGCTTACATACCTCTTTGTTTTAGATGCAAAATGAGCATGACTCCTATAATTGCAAACACTGAAATCATGGATACCATTGAATCCTTTAACCAATGAGAAAATCTCCCAGAGCAGATATCTAAAAAAAAATTAAATTATGTTATAATCACTTGATATTTATACGGAAACATGCAACATTGGAAAAAATTCACCAAGAAAGCCAGAGCTATTCTGCATGTGTGTAGTGTGTGATACTTTAAAGTTGCATTTTAAAATTATTTCTTTTAAATTTTTTTATTATTCATTGTTTTCATTTATTACATTTCAATCTCAGTTTCTACCCTCATCCCATTCCTTCCCCTACCTCCCCTCTGCCACCTTACCATAAAGTAAGCAAGAGTTATTGTGTGTGAGTATTTATTATTTTAAAGTTGTGTTTTAAAATTTCTTTTAATTTTTGAGATTATAATATAATTACATAATTTCTCCCTTCTCTTTCTAAATGGACTATTTTCAGGGTAATTTGGAAATCAATAGAGAGGGGAAATACCAAGGTATAAGGGTAAGGGCTATTTTTTAAATGCTTCCTCTTTGTATTCATAAAAGAAGAAAGAATTAAGATTAGAATATAAGAAGATGGGAGTAAAAGGGATAGCTGTTTTTAAGTTGGGGGCAGATTTGAGATAAGATTAAACAGTACCTTAGGAAAGTAGCTGACCTTTACTCCATCTCACTTGCCATGAGTAGGCATTATTAAAAGCAAGAAATAGACGTAGGTATTTATTATTATCATTTTTTCTAAGTTTGAAAGAAGCTGATAGAAGGATAAATCTGAAGACTTCTAAACTGCCTAAAATACCCTAATTTCCATAGTGTAAGAACTTACTGGCATAGGTAGTTTCCATTCTTCTGTTAAAGTGTCATAGTCACTGTGATGTTTTGAATGGGAATGGCAACCATAGTCTTATATATATATAGTCATCCTTTGGAAATTTTTGGGAAGAATTACACGGTGTATCTTGTTGGAGGTGGTGTGTTACTGGGGGAGGACGTTAAGGTTTCAAAACATTTCTGTCATTTCCTGTGTGTCTTTTTTTCCACCTCTCATTTGAATATAAAGATGTAAATAATCTTGGATAATATCAATAAGAAGAAATCTTTTGAAAAAGCTTATCTCTACAGGGTATTATCTAGTATAAAGAAAGTTGTAAATTTGTGCTTTCAAATGAGTAAGCACTCCCTATGCCCCGCACAAGAGAGAATAGAAAAGACAGCTGTTTCTTTAGATAGCAGTATAAAGAAGAGCAGCTAGAAACCTAAAAGAGATACTTCAGAGAAATACAGAAACAGTCTAACCCAAATCCATAGGGGATGGACATATTGCATCTCTTGTAGGAGATCTAAAGGAACTGATTTTGCTCCTGAGATTTAGAACTATGGCAAAAAATTTATACATTTGAGAATTTTATTTTTTATTATCATATATATATATATATTTATCACACATAGTGATGAAATTCTTTAATATTTTTCCAGATATAACATAATCATTGGCCTATTACTTACTCACAAAATCTTTTGTCTCCCTTTCATTTTAGGATTACTTCTCTTTGCCCACACAATCTTGCATTTACAGTCATATTACACTTACTTGAAATGTTTCTTCCATCTATTTAACTCTGCAAACCCCCAAATGAGGAAATCTGTGATATCTGTATTTCTGGGCTATAGCAGATATAATATGAATTTCCTGGTGCAATCAATTCATGTCCTACAAATGACAATTCTGTTTTGTGGAACAGACTAAAACCCATATATTTTTATATATTCCTCCAATCACAGACAATGAAACTACTTTCATACTTGGCTATTGTGAGCAGTCCTCTAATAATTTGAGATGTATAATTATCTCAGTTCTATGTTGACTTGGAATATATGAGAGTATACACTCAGCACTGGAAATTCTGGAGCATATCAAAGTTCAAATTTTAGGTTTCTGAGGTACCTTTTTGTATGAATTGTCATAGGAGATGTGAATCCAAAACAATCTCAGCTATGACATGTACAAAAGAACAAGAAAGTATTCCAAACAAGTCTAGTTTGGAGGACCAATGAGTTTCCTGTGGTTACTTGAAAGAACATAGGTATCTCAAGGGTAACTGAATAACTAAAGGATCCTGATGTGGGATGGTCTGTATGTCAAATTGCTCTGATTGGTCAATAAATAAAACACTGATTGGCCAGTGGCCAGGCAGGAAGTATAGGCTGCCTAACAGAGAGGAGAATTGAGAGAACAGGAAGGAAGGGAGAGACACTGCTAGCTGCTGCCATGACAAGCAGCATGTGAAGATGCTGGTAAGCCACGAGCCACATGGCAAGGTATAGAATTATAGAAATGGATTAATTTAAGCTATAAGAACAGTTAGCAAGAAGCCTGCCATGGCCATACAGTTTGTAAGCAATATAAGTCTCTGTCTTTACTTGATTGGGTTTGAGCGGCTGTGGGACTGGTGGGTGAAAGAGATTTGTCCTGACTGTGGGCCAGGCAGGAAAACTCTAGCTACAGGATCCTCCTTAGTATTATGCATCATTTGATGAGTTATGAATATTGGGTCACTGGAACTCTATGCTCAACTAATAAGTGACTTACACTGGAAAAATCTTCTCTCTACAATGTGCTTACTTATTTTGTAAGCAATAATGAGGATAAGAATCATGATATTTGTAAGTTGTGTGAGCTTCCTGATCCCTTTAAGTTTCCATAGCTTCCTAAGTGTTGTGAGTCTTCCTGCATTTTCCAGGAGTAATGTTTCTAGTTAAAGTAAAGAGCTACACAACACTCTACCCCTTCCTCCAGATCTTATATGCTTTTGATTCAGTCATGACATTTTGTGAATTTTGGAGAGAATTGTGTTGATGCCAATTATTTTTTTTTATTATGGCTGAAATTTAAGTTACTGTGTCATAACAAAAGTCACTGATTCCCAGGTTCTTGGTTAGTTACAAGTTTCCACAGATACTGCAAAAGATTAATTTTCCTCTATAAGTAATAGCAGAGGTACTCTATGGGTAGAAACACTTGAGTTTAGAATGCAGTTTGGTGGGTACTCCATAACCGCTCATGAAAACAACAGTAGTCAACATAGCATCAACTGGCACTATGAAAGCCAGCAATCAGCTAGGGAAATTCCATCTCTATCAAATCCTGATTTTTATGTTCTGTAGCCAAAGTGTACAGCATCTTTAGCAGTAGGTTCTTATCATCTAGCTTTGGCAAAACCAACAGCAGTAGAAATAGCTTTTGTGGTCTGTGAGGACAATAAGACACTTGTGTCTCTTTTAAGTCTGTTCATCCAGACTGATATCTTTGTATTGCTGCAGATTATACAGGATGGATGTTTACCTTATAGTTTCTCCTATTCAGGGATGACCATATTGGTCCCATCTGATTCTTGTCCCATGGCATCATGATCTAGGTTCTAACAAACTCATTATTGTTTTTAAATCTTCTCAATTTTAAGCATCTCAGATGCAGAGTATTCCCTAAATATTATAATTTCATTGCTTTTGCTTTCATAAAATTAAAAAATCACTTGATAGATATCAGAATCACATATGATTATACACATACTTGATAATTTATTACTATCACATCATGTTCTTACTCTATATCATTAGATTTTTTTTTACAGTAGAATCTAAGTTATTTTGTTTTCAAGGAAGAGATACATAGCAAAGATTTATTTTGTCCCCCTCAAATCCAGCTGTGGAAAATGGCATGTTGATGGGTTCTCATTCTTCCTTGTTTCTATTTTCCTCACAAAACTGAGACTAGTGTGGAGGATAGCAATATATTTTTGTCTTCTATATAACCATCCCTAACTCATGTGGGAAATTTCTTTCTGGGCAGGCAGATGAACCTACATTTCATGCCTTATAAGCCAAAGCAAAGGCATGTAACTGCTGACAGAGCTTTTTTTAAGTTCTTCCATAATAAGAGTTCCTTTTACAGATTACGATATTCAGTCCATCAGTCATTTAGGCTATATCTCCACACTCACATGTAGCAGATCCAATTCATGAATGAAGCATTCCACCTGATGCCATACCACAAAAAGGAAAATATCCATACTTAGAACATCCTTCTCAATAAATGCTCTACTCCCAGATATCTCAGTCTGTGTTTCATGATGTATAATACAGCACAGTAAGAATTCAACTGTCACTACAGGAAAGAAAGTCATCATCCCATATCACATAGGAAAAGATATTGAGATTGAGATTGACTACACAGATGGCTTACCTTCAGATTGATCACTATTACCTTGATCAGTCTCACAGATCGAATTCAAAATGTCAAAAACTGGATTTTCAACTTTTTCTGGGTAGACAAAAAAAAGTTTATTTACTTCAATAGAGCACCCATGACAGAATGAAGATTCTAAAGAAGTCATTAGTGAACCAATGTGTTTCAATGAGTAGCCTATTCTACACCAAGATCACATCCCACTATGGGGCACAGCAAAGCTACTAAAGTTCCATTATCACACATATTTAAAATGTGTCTTGAATCCATTCAAATCTATAATCCCCAAATGAGGAAATTTGTGATATCTGTATTTCTGGGCTATATCAGCTATAATATCAATTTTCTGGTGCATTCACACCATATGCTACTAATTATAATTCTGTTTTTGTATAACACAATAAAATGTGAACACACATGAACATCACAGTATCATATATTTTTACCTAAAACTTTGTTCACAGACTTTGAAAATGCTTTCACACTTGGCAATTGTAAGTAGTACTCTAATAAGTTGAGAAGTACAATTATCTCAGAGCTATGATGACTTGGAGTCTATGAGCGTATACACTCAGTGCTAAAAATTCTGGGGCATAACAAAGTTCAAATTTTCAATTTCTGAGGTACCTTTCTGTATGATTTGTCATGGGAGATGTGAATCCAAAACAATTTCAGATATGACATCTACATCAGACAAAGAAAGTATTCCAACCAAGTCCAGTTTGGTGGACCAATAAGTTTCCTGAAGTTACTTAAAAGAACATAGGTAACTCAAGGGTAACTGTATAACTAAAGGATCCTTCTTAGTATGATACACCATTGGGTGAGTTATG